GCGCATTATGTGCTCAAGATTGAGTCTTTCTCTTTGTTCGCCAAGAACAACGAGGAGAAGTATGAATCGAACGAGTTCGAAGCAGGAGGCTATAAATGGTTCATTTCTCCTCTCTCTAGTATCCCCCTCACACTCTCACTGTAGAGGCATTAAAAGAACTGCGTACGGTGGTTCGACATCGCTGGCCAAAAACATCGGTCAATTAATTTTTAAGAGATTGTTCCTTGTACGGATTCCTATGGCTATGCTCTAAATTTGGACCTTTCTTCCAGAAGATGGTTTAAATACTTTACAGGCATTAAATTTCTCTTACTGCTTAAGAGTCTGATGTTTGAACCCTTTGTAGTCCTGTAAATTAATACAGAATAAGGTAATCTTTTTTATGATGAAGAGATTGTTGTGAAAATAAATGTTGATTCAGCAATCAGAAGCTGTAGCACTTCACAAATTCTAAGAATAATCATTGTCAACTCAAATTGGAAACTTTTCATGTACGTTCCGTGCTCGAATTCACGGAAGCATCTTGATTCTGCAGGAAACTGATCCTCTATCCCGATGGAGACAAGAGCCGAAATGGAGAAGATCACATCTCTGTATATCTGGCGGTTTCTGGGACGAGTCCTTTCCAACTTGGTGGGGCGATTCATGCGACCGTCAGTTTCTCTTTGTATGATCAAATCTGCAATAAATATTTAACTAAACAAGGTAAAAGCTCAGTAATGACAGCAAAAGGTAAGATACTGTCACCTTCTGAACACTAATGTCGAATCAACAAATCTTCGCTTGTGAATTGAAGGGAGAGTCACGATGTTTCACACGTTGAAAGCCGAATGGAGTTCCAAGATACATGCCGCTGACAATTTTCACCGACCCGTCAAATGGGTACCTTGTGGACGACACCTGTGTCTTCGGTGTGGAGGTTCTTGTCATCAAGAGTTCGGGAGTTGGCGAATGTGTGACGCAACCAAAGGTGAGCACATCGTATACTCATGAATGGAAGATATCAAGGCTGTCAAGCTTGGGCGATGAATCTCTTCTCTCTGATGAATTCAATGTCGAAGGCTATAAATGGTAGCTCTCACTTACAAACTCCCTTTCCATGATAACTTTTGTGTTTGTTGATTTATTGTTTTTTTTTGGTAAGGTTTGTTGATTTTATTGTTTGTCCTATCTATTATCACTATTTTCAATCTTTTCGCAGGAGCGTGTTGCTATGCCCGAGGGGTACTTTGGCTAACAGGGGCCAAAACCTTTCAACGTTTCTCTGGTTAAACGAGGCGGACAAATTGGCTTCTGGTCAGAAAGTGAACGTGAGATTCGTCATTCGGTTGAAAGGCCAAAACAACGTTGTACACTATCAGCCCGAAGGTGAGTGTTTTCCTTAAGTGGATGAGCGCTACACTTCAAGGCCATTGTAAACAGAAAGTCCGGAGTAATTCCAATTTCAATTACACGATGAGCTTCCTTCTTACCACAGTACAGCTCTAATTAAATTGCACCTGTTAGCAAGGACCGAATTTGATTTGTTCATGTAGTCCGTATTGTTAGAAACCACTAAAGTCTCATATTTCCTAATTTTCTGCTCTCTTTGCTTTGTCTTTGCTACTTTGCAGCTTATACTGTATGGTTCAGTAGCTCCACCAAGGTTAAAGGTTGGCCATCTTTCATGCCGCTGAAAACGGTTCGGGAACGCGTGAAGGATGATCCATGTGTCATTGAGGCTGAAGTCACGGTGCTTGGCACAACTAGCAAATTGCCATGACAGCAAATATATAGATACACTGGATGTGTTCATAAACAGACAATCACCGGCAATTCTTTCCTCATGACAATAATACATGGATTGGATGTGTTTGTTGACACATGAATTTTAGTCGACAGATCGAATGTACATTTATGTAGACATGAAAATAATGAATAAATAAATAAAGAGTAAAAAGATCCAAGGCTCGACTCGGTCTTGGTCCGAATACTATGCCTGCCTCGTTTTCATCTAATCTCACGAGCACATTTAGTCTTCGATCCGGATTCACTTCATCAACTTCTCTGCCATGTATAGATCGATGTGTAAAGCACAAATCTCTGTCATCAAGTAATGTTGTGTGACCAAATGAGTTCTTGAGTATCTTTGCTAGATTAAAATTCGTGATTGTAGTTTGCATCTCAAAAAAAGAAAGAAAAAAAAAAACCGAGAAGAGTAGTTACCGAGGGTGTCACTCAACATAATGTTTCTCGTGTTTTCTGCTACGTGAGTATTTGTGGTGATCGGAGGATGGTTGCCGGTGATAAAAATTGGAGAACTGGAGTTCTCGGGTTGCCGGAAAAATCCATGGAAAGCAGAGTGCTCATGCTGTAAGTATGTCGATGGTTTGAAGATAATGAAAGTGATGGCTGGCTGCGAATGGTCCAAACAATATCGTTGCAGCTTTGATTAGATTTTGGTCGGATGTTGTTCAATGCTTTCATAGAGGCATTCAGTGAAGGGAAGCATGAAAGAGATTAGAGAGCTGAGAAAGCTACGAAAATAAGATATGTATGATGATGATGAATACGAAAAACAATAATGACAAAAAAAAATAAATTATAGGAAAATGCAGGCCTCAATTAGTTAGTTATGTCTTAGGATTAGATTTAGTTGAGCTTCATTTAATTGATGTTCATATAGTTTAGGAAATTGCATTTCATGATTTTTAGGGCAATTTTTGTTTTAGATGATTTTTCTCTACATGAAACAGATAGTAGGATAATTTTTTTTTATAAAAGTGTAAAAAATATAAGAATGGAAAGAAAAAAAAAACTAATTGGCGTTTATATTTAAGATTACTTCTAGGGCCTAATAGCCTAAAAAACCTCCAACTTTAGCTATTGCCCAAAATTTACCTTTTGTCTAAAAAAAAACCTCCAACTTTAGGTCATGTCCCAATTCTACCATAATTTTTTTTTGTCCCATAGAAACCCTCAAATTTTAAGTCTAATCCTAATTCTACCCTAAACTTCTTTTATCTCATAAAAACCCCTCAACTTTAGGTCTAGTACCAATTATACCTTAAAAAAAATTTTGTCTCATAAAAAGACCTCAGCTTTAGATCCAGTTTCAATTTCACTCTAATTTTTTTGTCTTGTAAAAGATCACCAACTTTTACTTGAGTTCCAAATATGCTCCTTATTAACCTTCCGTCAAAATTGCCCTTAGTGATTTGCGCTTGTCAATCTCTCATGCTTAAGAATGTTCCATTTCTCGCGGTCTGAGAGCTTGCACTTGGGACGCACCAACAGCTCATGCTTGGTAGTTTTCCATTTCTCAGTTGTTAATGAAAAATTTTAGATGAAGTATTAATAGGGCTAGATTTGTGACTCAAGTAAAAGTTTGTGATTTTTTATTAAACTGAAAAAATTTTAGGGTAAAATTGAGACTGGACGGTAAAATTTAGATAAAACCTAAAGTTAGGGGTTTTTAGGAAAAAAAAAATTTATATTGGAATTGAGACATGACCTAAAATTGAGGGTTTTTTATTGGACAAATTTTTTTTTTTATGGTAGAATTGGGACTTGACCTAAAGTTTGAGGTTTTTTATGAGATAAAAGGCAAAATTAGGACAAAAGTTAAAGTTGGAGGTTTTTTAGGGTATTGAACCTTACTCTAGGGGTTAGTTTGTTGATTTTTGTCTTTAATATCATTAGCAAGATTTTTAGTAGGAAATTCTTTTATTTTAGTTGAAATTGGTCTTTGATTTCGATTTAGAGAATTAGCTCAGGGGGAACATGTCCTGGGGCTCAATAATAAGGTAATGTATATCATTTGTCCGACTCGTATCGGGTTCGGTATTGTAATTAGAAATTGTACAACATTTATTGAAATGAATATAGCTTATCTATATTTTCTTATTTAGAATTAGATTCGTTTAAAAACATATGTAAAGATATGATTACTATATGTCCGTGCAAAGCGCCGAGATATAATGTTGGCTTATGTGCTCGCATGACATTTTACTTTGCATCCATGATTGCCATGTGGCAAGACAAGTGGTGTAGAGACGAATATGAGATGAGCAAAGATTTGGATGATGAAGCCTTCATGGTAGGATTGAACCTTAAAATTTTAGCTTTTTATACGAACACGGATTTGGATTTTCAAAAGGTTTCCTTCTGTTTTTGAAGTAGCAAGAATTTTGATTTGGATTTTCGATCTTGAATTTCTTATTTCTTTCTTTTTTTTTATTATGGCTTTAAAGAGAAGTTTCTTCTTCTTCTTCTTCTTCTTCTTCTTCTTCTTCTTCTTCTTATAATAATAATAAATAAAAAAATTTGGGTCCACTCTTGCAGATCACGGTAAGAAGAAAAGGGTTGATTGCTCTTTAGGTTGGACCGACGAAAAACTTTAGTGGAAAAAATAGCCATGGAAAATAAGAAGGGAAAATTTTAGTGGTATGGACATAGAAATTGAGAGTAAAAAGCATGGCAAGCAGCTTTAATTTCTTTTTCTCCTAGTCTCGTGATTAAATTTCGGGGCCCTTTCAATGAATAATCATCCTTATATATCGCGATTTTCTTTGATCGATAGTGAAATCGACGATCTTATAATTGATAATTTTCCTCAAACGTGCATGAGTTCCCATCTTTTCTACAAAATCACTTGCCCATCAAAATTAATTCTCTCTTAATCTAACGGCTAAGATTGAACGGGACTGCCGCCGTGCTTTTCCATACTGGACCATAGAATTTCCCTGAATAAGTACATCGAACTTTACTCATATATACTTACCTTTTTATCAAATATATATTGAAAGTCACAAGCTACAAAGTTTCGTCCTTCTTTGTTTCTTTGGCCAGGTAAGAATCCAAGAATCTAGTGAATTGATACAGATGGAAAAAGCAAAGAATTTGGATAGAGTCAGACCGTTCTTCCCCTTGCCCTTCTCAACTCCCAAATGGTACAATTTCAGAATAAAGCAACCTGCAATAAGCAAGAGAATGAAGCAACTGCACCATGGAAACGAAGAACGCAAGCTGTCACTATAAATAATCTTCGTTGATTACCTCTAAAACCATCATTCAATCAACACTCGAAACTTCGGATCGAGTTGAAAATCTCCAACTTTGAAAATGACTTCTTCCGAGATATACAGAGAAGCCGGCCTCGGTATGTCCCCTCAAATATAACCCCATATAGTTCATGTGTTGCATGAGTTTCTCTCTTATTTGTGGTAAGAAGAATGTCAATGTACATGGAAATTTTCAATTGCTATATGAATAACTTGGTGTCTTGGATATAGTTTGCACTCGGGCTCCAAGGAACTATTAGAACTCATCGGTTGATTGGTTTTTTCTGGTTTTGGTCGATGCAGTAATGACGAAGGAGATCAGAGATGTTGCACCGGCGCATTATGTGCTCAAGATTGAGTCTTTCTCTTTGTTCGCGAAGAACAACAAGGAGAAGTATGAATCAAACGAGTTTGAAGCAGGAGGCTATAACTGGTTCATTCCTCTTCTCTCTAGTCTCCCCCTCCCCTTCTCACATTCAGAGGCATTAAAAAAACTACATACAGTGGTTCGACATCTCTGGCCATAAACATCGATCAATTTATTCTTGAAGAGATTGTTCCTTATACGGAATCCTACGGCTATGCTCCAAATTTAGGCCTTTCTTCCAGAAGATGGTTTAAATACTTTACAGGCATTAAATTTTGTTACTGCTTAAGAATCCAATGTTTGAACCCTTTTTAGTTTTGTAAATTCATACAGAATAAGGTAATCTTTTTTATGATGAAGAGATTGTTGTGCAAATAGTGTTGATTCAGCATTCAGAAGCTGTAGCAGTTCACAAATTCCAAGAATAATTATTGTTGACTCAAATTGGAAACTTTTCATGTATGTTCCGTGCTCGAATTCACGGAAGCATCTCGATTCTGCAGGAAACTGATCCTCTATCCCAATGGAGACAAGAGCCGAAACGGAGAAGATCACATCTCCATATATCTGGCGGTTTCTGGGACGAGTCCTTTCCAACTTGATAGGGCGATTCACGTGGCCGTCAGGTTCTCTTTGTATGATCATATCTGCGATAGATATTTAACTGAACAAGGTAAAAGCTCAGTAATGATAGCAAGAGGTAAGATATTGTCACCTTCTGAAGACTAATATCGAATCGACGAATCTTTGCTTGTGAATTTGAAGGGAGAGTCACGAGGTTTCACGCGTTGAAAGCCGAATGGGGAGTTCCGAGATACATGCCGTTGAAAATTTTCGCCGACCCGTCAAACGGATACCTTGTGGACGACACCTGTGTCTTCGGTGTGGATGTTTTCATCATCAAGAGTTTGGGAGTTGGCGAATGTGTGAGGACGCTAAAGGAGAGCACATCGTATACTTATGAATGGAAGATATCGAGGCTCTCAGGCCGGTCAGACTATCTTTACTCTGATGAATTCACCGTTGGAGTCCATAAATGGTAGCTCCTATTTACAAACTTCCTTTCAATGATAACTCTTCTTTTTGTTGATTTATCGTTTGTACTATCTATTTATCACTATTTTCAATCCTTTCGCAGGTATGTGTGGCTATTCCCGCGTGGTGATTCGGCTAACAAGGGCCAAAACCTTTCGATGTTTCTCCATTTATACGAGGCGTACAATTTGGCTTCTGGTCAGAAAGTGAACGCGAGATTCGTCATTCGGTTAAAAGGCCCAAACAACGTTGTACACCATCAGCCCGAAGGTGAGTGTTTGTCCTCGTAAGTGGACGAGCGCTACAGTTCAAGGGCATTGTAAATAGTAGCCCAAAAAGAAAGTCCAGAGTAATTCCAATTTCAATCCCACGAGGAGCTTCCTTCTCACCACAGCACACTGCTAAACAAATTGCACCCGTTAATAAGGACCAAATTCGATTTGTTCATGTGGTCCGTATGGTTAGAAACCGCTGAAATCTCTCATATTTCCCAACTGTAATTTTCTGCTAATTTGCTTTGTCTTTGCTACTTTGCAGCTTGTACTAAATGGTTCAGTCGCTCCGACGTGGACTTTGGTTGGCCGTCTTTCCTGCCGCTGAAAACGGTTTGGGAACGCGTGAAGGATGATCCATGTGTCATTGAGGCTGAAGTCACGGTGCTCGGCACAGTTAGCAAACTGCCATGACAGCAAATATATGTATTGGATGTGTTCATAAGCAGACAATCACCGGCAATTCTTTCCTCGTGACAAATAATACATGGATTGGATGTGTTTGTTGACACCTTATCGCGGCCCGATTCACACAGCCCGGTTTTGATTTGTTCCAACACTGCCCATGCCCATCGAATTTAAAATCGATCTAAGCTTCAGCCGTTACTCATTCGGTCCAGGGCCCAAGCCCGGGAGAGAAATTGATCACCAAGTGTTTGTGAAAATGCTTGAGTGAGATTGCATACGCAGCTAAGAAGCATCTTCCTGAACCTGAACCTGCTTAAATCATGATGTACATGCTGATTGCATCCATTCTATCTCCGGTCTCAGCGGTTTAGACTATGGCCGAAACCTCCAAATACTATGCCTGCCTCGTTTTCATCTGATCTCACGCGCACATATAGTCTTCAATCTGGATTCACTTCGTTAACTTATCTGCCGTATATAGATCAATGTATAAAGCATGAATCTCTGTCATTGAGTCATGTTGTGTAACCAAATGAGCTTTTGAGTATTTTTGCTAGATTAACACTCGTGATTGTTGTTTGCATCTCAAAAAAAGGAAAAGAACCGAGAAGAGTAGTTACCGAGGGTGTCGCTCGACATAAATGTTTCCTGTGTTTTCTGCTACGTACGTATTTGTGGTGATCGGAGGATTAGATTTAGTTGAGTTTCATTTAATTGATGTTCATATAGTTTAGGAAACGGTTAGGATTAGATTTAGCCATTTGTTTAATTTTTAGATATAGGTGTAGGATTTTTTTTATTAAAGATAAATGTAGAATTAAAACATTATTTTTGGTATATTTTCTTAATCTATTCACTGTGCTGCATATCAAAGAATAGAAGGATTAGTCATGCACCCGGTGCATCGCACCCGATGCCGGGTTGCTACAAAATCCAAAAACTTAAATATCAAATCGAATCAAAGCCCAACCAAAACAAAATCCTCTACGACGAATCAAAGGGACTCGTTATTCACTAAAACAGCACATCGATGAGACAAAAACGGTTGAGTTTTTGAAAAAAGTTTTGCGGATGATAGGCCGTCATCTAAGGAGTCTCTTTAGGCCCAACAATGCAAAACATTCCAATGATCCTTCGGAATGAAAAGGCATATTTCCAAATCCTTGATTTTAGAGCCAATCAGAGTTAGCAAACGCGTGCATCCGTGGAGATTGGTCGAGCCGAGAGATTTGTTATAAATAGAGTCTTGGTAACTATAACATTGGTTAATCGTACCTTATAAAAAGATATTTTCCTTTTTTTTTCATACTAATTGTGCATGTTGTGAGAAAGACGGCGCCTTGGAAATTTGAAAATTTTCTTTATGATGTTTAACTTGTGCCTTCGGACAGTCTTACCTGATTAAAAATAGCACATGCAACTTCTTCGGATCTGGCGCCTAAAAATGTAAGCCAAAAGGCAACAGTTCACCTTGGTAGAGCAATTTTCATTTTATTTTTCCGGTCAAAAGAAAAATTGGTGGGCTAGCGGGAGTTAATGCATTTTTCGACTAAGCAGAGAAAAAAAATAGGAGGAAATTTTATCGCCACACCCTTCTCTTCTCAATTTCATCACTATATCTCTTTTCTCAAAATTGGAGCGACGGTGTTAAGAATGGTGCGAAAGAGAGGAATTTGGAGAGTTTTCTGTTCGATGTATGTGAGCCTATTTATCGGCTTTATTGGATAGCTACTTAAGGTAACAAGATAAACATAATATCAAATCCAAATCAATCAATGATATGTACTATCAAATGAGATTATGCATAATCCTCAAATATATGTAGAATCAAGTAAATATCACGCTAACATAATCTTGGTAAAAGAAGAAGAAGAAGAAGCAGCATCTCTCTTTATATATTTCTTCTTCCATCTAGTACGTAACCCCAAACCATCAAGAATCATTAAAAGTCGAAGTCCCAGAAACAGAACAAGAAGGAACTACTAAAATGTACGACGAAGCTGACCATGGTATGTAGTTTCGCTCCTAGTTTCTCCAAGCCTGGACTTAAAAGTATCTCAGACAATTTTGTGGTTTTTGGGCATAAACATGTCAGTTGATTTCTCTGTGTTTATTGGGTTGTTTTACCTAAGCAGGAATAACTACGGAGTACACGGATGTCTCACCTGCACATTACGTGTTCAAGATAGAGTCCTTCTCCCTGTTTTCGGAGAACGACATGGACATGTATGAAACTAATGAGTTCGAATCTGGAGGCCACAAATGGTGCTCTCTCTCTCTCTCTGTGTGTGGGACTCAATGTGTGTGTTGATTTGTCTGATATTTCCCATTGAATGAGATCTCCTTAATCTTTATTAGTTGAAAGGTTGTTTTTGTTTATTAAATAATTTTCGAAATTATGAAAATTCGGAATTTTATTTATATATATTTTTTATTTTATTTTATTCCGAATTTTACATGTGTCTTTTCAAGACAACTTTCGGAGATTATACTTGTTCAGTTTTCAACCTTTTACGAAGGGTTGCATTTGTTCGCTTTCCTAGCCTCTCCGAAGGAATACTTGTGGACTTTCGTGAAGAGTTGCCTATGAAGAGACTTTATATTGAAAAATCATAATTCTAAGCTTTCATTTATTAGTATTTCATTTGAGACTTTGTGTATGAGGTTTTTGCGAACCAATTGTGGGGCAAATAAATCTAAAACACACAAAGTAGCACTTAAACACAATTAAATGTGGATTTGTCTGATTAATGAGATCCGTTTAACATGATTCCAGCCTGGGTCATAGATTAGGGTTCGAATTTTAACCCTTTTATAATTATGTAAAGTTACACAGTGGCTTGTTATGAGATCCACTTTTATAATTACGTAAAGTTCTCTTATTGTTGCAGGAGAATGATTCTCTATCCCAATGGAGACGAGAGCAGAAATGGACAAGGTCATGTGTCTATATATCTGGCAGTTTCCGAGACCAGTCCTTTGAAGGTCGGCTCGGACGTGAATGCAATCGTTAGATTTTTTGTGTTTGATCAAATTCGCCACATATACTTGGTAAAACAAGGTAACCATTTCCGCATATTAATTTTAAGGAAAATGCTAAATGCAACTTTGGTTATGACTTTTAAAAAAGTTACACTTATGATATTAAGGGATCAGCACGAGGCTTCGCGCGATGAGTTCCAAGTGGGGTATTCCAAGATATGTGCCTCTAGAAATTTTTAAGGATCGGTCGTACGGATTCCTTGTCGACTGCATTTTTGGAGTGGAGGTCTTTGTCATCAAGAACTCGGGCATAGGTGAATGTCTAACACTAAAAAAGGGTACATCCTCACGTAGACACGAATGGAAGATACCAAATTTCTCAAGTTTGGTAGCACAGTCATGCCATTCCAAAATATTTTTTGCTGGAGATCGGAAATGGTAACTTAAATTTGTTGAATCTGTTAAATTTCTGCAGGAGTGATATCTTTCGTTTCTGTTTGTAGATTTTTCTGCTTCCTATGATCTTTAATGGTTATGCCACTATTCCTCTGCTCAGGAAGGTGCATCTCTATCCAAGGGGCGATTCGAGATCAAAGGACAAAAGCCTTTCGATATTTCTTTGTATGGTAGATTCAGAGAAACTAGCTCCTCAGCAGAAAGTTAACGCAAGGTGCCGCTTTTCACTGAGAGGCCAAGATGGTGCTGTCTATGAGGGCCCCAAAGGTATTATCATGACAAACTAGGAATCATAAATTCCCTGTTCTACAAAGGCCTTCGTTCACTCTTTCCATATGTAGTTTGTATCAACTAATGTTGCTAACAGTTCGTTCTGCAGGCTCACAATGGTTCAGTAGGTCAAGCTCTTCGTGGGGGTGGTGTCGTTTCTTGCCGCTAAAAAACATTCAAGATTTCTTAGTTGATGATGAATGCACCGTTGAGGCCAAAGTCACCGTCCTAGGCGCTGCTGGTACACTGACATGACAAATACGATGCGAGTTCATGATCAGATGATTTCTACCGCTGTTTCCTCCGTATACTATGCTAGTAGTTTTAAGACCTTAAACTTGTGGAATTGCTCTTCTGCAACTAGTTGAATGATGTTTCTCTCTTTTGATCTACAGTTGTTTGCAGCAAAGTAAGTTTTTGATCCTAAACTCCTGTCTGTTCATGTTCGCTACTATTACCCGACCCGACCGCAGAAGAGCTAAATTCCAGCAACGCAATGTCCTGATGCATGTTGCTTTTGCGGCATCCTTTCGCTGCCACATACATCGTATTGGATAACAGAAAATTAATTCGATTCATACGAGGCTAAGATATTCCAAAAAAAAGTTGTAGTCCATATCATCAAAAAACAAATGCCGTGGTGCCACATTTATTCGAAGGATCACATTGCCAAGAATATCAAAAAACACTCCCTTGAAATCCTTATATAGTGCTGTAGTATGTGACCTTCAAATTGGATTTTGCCCCGTTAAATATTTCATAAACTGTAAATAAGTCATATTATGGGCAAATTGCCCTCTCAAAAAAAGAAATAAAAAATTGTAAATTAAATTAACAAAATATTGCTTTTTATCGGACTTTTGATGTCTTTATTTCTAGAGAAAATATAGTTGATTTCTTTGTAGTCACGCATCATATGTGCCCTAGCTAAGAAAAGAATTATGAATACGTCCCCGATTCCCAATTTTGACTCTATAAACCTACAAAACTTGAGAAGGCTCCCTTATAAAATGCACCTCTTTAACAACAAATATCGATTTAAATATTTTTTTTGGGATAATCGCTCAAAATCTCCTTTAAAGTTTGAACTTTAGCAATGTTTCACAATAGACCGTTAAAAACTACAAATTTATCTCCCTTAACGTTGACACATTTGCTCCTGAACTCTAAATTTTTGTCGTGGTCGCTGATTTTTCTATTTACTTAGTAATTAATGAGGAGGAAACCTCTACTACATGATTAATGAAGTTAAAAAACAATTAGAGAGGGACGCATTGTCAATGAAGCTAAAAAAATCAGCAAAAATATTTTGGTGAGAGAAAACGAGCTAATTCATCTATAGTAACATTTAGGGAAAAAACCACCAAAAACCCCAAACTTTGCCATCTGTGACACATTTACCCCGAACTTTTTTTTGTGACACCAAAAACCCTGAACTTTACTTTTTTGTGACACATTTACCCCAATGTATTTAGTCCATGGGCATTTTCGTCTTTTGCTTTTTCTTTTTTTTTTTTTTTTTTTTTTCCTTTCCGGCGAGGGGCCTTGCCGTGCCCGGGCGAGGGCCGCCCTCGCCGGATCCGCGAGGGGGCCCTAGCCCGCGTCGAGCGAGGGTGGCCCTCGCCAGATCCGGCGAGGCGGCCCTCGCTCGCCCTCGGGCGAGGTTTGCCCTCGCCTTGGGCGAGCGAGGCGGCCCTCGCCCGACTCGTGCGAGGTCGACCCTCGCCGGCGTCTGGGCGAGGGCCGCCTCGCTCGCCTGTGTGAGGGCGAACCTTGCCCGACGCCGCCGAGGGCCGCCCTCGCTCGACGCCGGCGAGGGCCCCCTAGCTGGATCCGGCGAGGGCAACCTCGCTCGACGCAGCGAGGCCCCCTCACGGAAGGAAACAAAAAGAAAAAGTAAAAAAGACGAAAATGCCCATGGACTAAATACATTTGGGTAAATGTGTCACAAAAAGCAAAGTTCGGGGTTTTTGGTGTCACAAAAAAAAGTTCGGGGTAAATGTGTCACAGATTGCAAAGTTTGGGGTTTTTGGTGGTTTTTTCCCTAACATTTAATAGCTACGAAGAGACAAAAATAAATCAGCAAATCTAATGAAAATAAAAAGTTCACGAGGTGATTTCAAAAACTAATAAAGATTGTGCAATGATGTCTAAAATCAAGGAAATAATCTGTAACTTTGCAAAAAGTCGAGATTACGATGGAAATGGTGGCAAAGTTGAGAAACAAAATAACAAAAAAGGAGTCTTTCTTCTTCCAGATCTCTCCCACCTCCAAAGACTATCAGAGCGAGTGACGATGACGCCGGGCCTACGACGCCCCGCCCGACCGAGCGAGTGACGATGACGCCGGTAGCTCCTCCCCCCTCCTTGCAAGATGCATGGCCCAATCGACCCACCCTCCTGGCGTTAGGCCAACTTGTCATATCAAAACGACATCGAGCACCACCTGAACCGGACACTGACCGGACGATCGTGACAGAGTACCAGAGGAGTGACCGAAATACTTACCACTCTTTTGATCTTCAGCGAAAATTGCACAACAGGAATAGATATGATCAAAGATTATTTTAAAAGCTTTTGGCCTATTTTCTAATGTGGCGCCTAACAGCTCAACATGTCTCCAAATTACGTTTAAAAACGCCAAGTTTTCCAATTAACGTAGAAATTTAATTACATCAATTTGAGAAATTTTAGGATTTGATTGCACTTTTTGCAAATTCTAGAACTCAATTGTACATTCTCAACGAGTTTTAGGATTTTTTGTGTACTTATCCGTCGAAACAATATAAACTTCTTTCTTGAAATTTCCAATCCTCTAATTTCTATAATATTTTGAAAAGTGCTATTCCTAGTATCCACAAAGCTTCACGGAGAAGTTTGAAGGTAACTTCTCGAGGTTATTTAACTTAAACATCGTGAGGAAGGTTGCTTATCCTAGAGCACTTCCTAGCCACTTTGAGAAAGCTAAAAAGTACGATGGCCCGGAAAAAAAGAACATGATGGCCCCATAATCTTTTTCCCGTACGAACTAAAATTGTATTATCAAGAAAACATAAATAAAGAAGACACTTCGGTGCCAATTAGTAATGTCCCCCTCATCTTGATGACAAGAGAGTGACTTTATCGATAGTCTGTCAATTTTTTCTCCCTGGACTACCACTTGATAAACCATATGTCGTAATCGTTCCACGTGGCTCATGTTCGACCAATTAGTATTAGTTCGGTATTTTCGTCCTCAAACATCTATCACTTATTAAATTTATATTAAAAAACGTATTAAAAGAAAATATTTTCAAATATGTTCTTAATTTTCAGTGTGCTGCATATCAAAGAGTAGAAGGATTAGTCATGCACCCGGTGCATTTGCACCCAATGCAGGGTTACTACAAAATTCGAAAACTTGTATATTAAATCGAATCAAGCCCAAGCAAAACAAGACCCTCTACGACGGGTCAAAGGGACTCATTATTCCGTAAAACAGCACGCATCGATGAGACAAAAAGGGTCAAATTTTGAAAAAAAGCTTTGCGGTTGATAGAACGTCATCTAATGTGTCTCTTCGGCCCAACATTTCAAAACTTTCCAACAATCCTTCGAGATAAAAGGCATATTTCCAAATCCTTGGTTTTAGAGCCAATCAGAGTTCGCAAATGCATGTATCCGTGGAGATTGGTCGAGTTGAGAGATTCGAATTATTTTTAGGTAAGTGTAACATTGGTTAATTGTACCTTATAAAGAAAAATTTTCTTTTTCTATATAATGATTGTACATAACTTGAGAAAGAAGGCGCTTTGGAAATGAGAAATTTTTCTTTATTTGGATGTTTAACAAGTGCCTCGAGACAATCTTTTACGTGATTAAGAATTGCACATTGGTACTTTCAATAAAAAAAGCTTGTATTAGTACATTAGTTTTTTATTTTATTTTGAATTAATACCATGAAAAACCACAGACTGGTACACCTGTGATAAATCTAATTTAACGGAAAACTATCGACCAAAAAACAAAATTTAACGGAAAACTAACGGAGGTTAAATTCATCACAAATGTACCAGTTTGAGGTTTTTTACGGTCAAAAAATTAGTCTAGGATAAATTTGTCACATGTGTATCAATTTATGATTTTTCGTGATATTAACCATCTTATTTTTCCAGTCAAAAGAAAAATTGATGGTCTAACGGGGGCAAATACATTTTGCCCTAAGCACAGAAAAAGAAAAGGAAATTGGAAAGCCACACCCTTCTCTTCTCAATTTCATCACTAAATCTCCTTTCCCAAAGGACTGAATCTTGGTAAAAGAAGAAGAAGAAGAAAAGCTCTCTTTATATATTTCTTCCTCCATTCAGTACGTAACTCCACTGACCAGAAACCATCAAGAATCATCAAAAATCGAAGTCCCAGAAACAGAGCAAAGAGGAACTACTAAAACAGTGAAATGGACGACGAAGCTGATGATGGTATGTAGTTTCGCTCCTAGTTTCTCTAAGCCTTGACTTCCAAGTATCTCAGACAATTTTTTGATTCTTGGGCATGAACCCATCAGTTGATTTCTCTCTATTTGTTCATTGGGGTTGATTTTAACTGAGCAGGAATAACTACGGAGTACACAGATGTCTCACCTGCACATTATGTGTTCAAGATAGAGTCCTTCTCTCTGTTTTCAGAGAACGACATGGACATGTATGAAACTATTGAGTTTGAATCTGGAGGCCACAAATGGTGCGCTCTCTCTGTCTCTCTCTCTCTCTCTCAATGTGTGTATGATTTATCTGATTGAATGAGATCCGCAGTTATAACTACGTAAAGTTCTCTGATTGTTGCAGGAGACTGATTCTCTATCCTAATGGAGACAAGAGCGGAAATGGACAAGGTCATGTGTCTATATATCTGGCAGTTTCCGAGACCAGTCCTTTGAAGGTCGGTTCGGACGTGAATGCAATCGTTAGATTCTTTGTGTTTGATCAAATTCGTGACACATACTTGGTAAAACAAGGTAACCATTTCCACATATTAATTTCGAGAAAAACAAGGTAACCATTTCCGCATAAGTTTTAAAAAAGTTACACTTATGATATTAAGGGAGTACCAGGAGGTTTCGCGCCATGAGGTCCAAGTGGGGTATTCCAAGATTTGTGCCTCTAGAAATTTTTAAGGATCAGTTGAACGGGTACCTTGTTGACGACACCTGCATTTTTGGAGTGGAGGTTTTTGTCATCAAGAACTCGGGCATAGGCGAATGTCTAACACTAAAAAAGGGTACTTTCTCGCGGACACATGAATGGAAGATACCAAATTTCTCAAGTTTGGTAGAACAGTCATGCTATTCCGATATATTTTTTGCTGGAGATCAGAAATGGTAACTTGAATTTCATGAATCTGTTAAATTTCTGTAGGAATGATATCTTTGGTGTCCGCTTGTAGATTTTTCTGCTTTCTAGGATCTTTAATGGTTATGCGACTATTCATCTGTTCAGGAAGGTGCATCTCTATCCAAGGGGCGATTCGAGATCAAAGAACAAAAGCCTTTCGATATTTCTTTTTCTGGTAGATTCAGAGAAACTAGCCCCTCAGCAGAAAGTTAACGCAAGGTACCGCTTTTCATTGAGAGGCCAAGATGGTGCTGTCTATGAGGGCCCCAAAGGTATGATCATGACAAATTAGGAATCATAAATTCCCTGTTCTCCAAAGGCCTTCGCTCGGTCGTTCCATATGTAGTTTGTATCAATTAATGTGGCCAAATGTTCACTTTGCAGGTTCACGATGGTTCAGTAGTTCAACCTATTCATGGGGGTGGTCTAATTTTATTCTGCTAAAAAGCATTCGAGATTTCCTAGTCAATGATGAATGCGTTGTTGAGGCCGAAGTCACCGTCCTAGGCATTGCTGGTAAACTGACATGACGAATACGATGCAGTTTCATGATCAGACTTTTTCTATTGCTGTTTCCTCCGTGTACTATGCTGATAGTTTTAAGACAGTATACTTGTGGAATTGTTCTTCTGCAACTAGTTGATTGATGTTTCTCTCTTTTGATCTATTGTTGTTTGCAGCACACTAAGTTTTTGATCCTATACTCCTATCTGTTCATGTTCGCTAATGTTACCTGACCGCAGAAGAGCTAAATTCCAGCAACGCAATGTCCTGATGCATGTTGCTTTCGCGGCATCCTTTCGCTGCCACAGACATCGCATCGGATAACAGAAAATTAATTCGATTCATACGAGGCCAAGATATTCCAAAAAAAGTTGCAGTCCATATCATAAAAAAACAAAGGGTTAATCTCACGAAAAATCCCAAACTAGTATACCCGTGACAATTTTATCTCGAACTAATTTTTTGACCACGAAAAACCCCAAACTGGTACACCTGTGACAAATTTATCCCGAACTATTTTTTTGACTACCAAAAACCCTACACTGGTGCACTTGTGACAATTTTACTCCAAACTAATTTTTTGACCACAAAAAACACAAAACTAATTTTTTGACTACCAAAAATCTCAAACTTGTACATTTATGACAAATTTACCCTTTATTAGCATCCGTTAAATTGGATTAATATCATAAAAAATCACAAATTGATAAACTTGTGACAAATAGAGGGGAAAAACCTTAAATTGGTACACCAATTAACTACCACGTGTCATCAAACTTAACAATTTGACAATAAAATTTAACAGAAACTAACGAAGGGTAAATTTGTCACAAGTGTACCAGTTTAGGATTTTTTTGTGATTCAAAAATTAGTTTAGGGTAAAATTATCATAAGTGTACTAGTTTGGGATTTTTGGTGATAAAAAAACTAGTTCGGGGTAAAATTGTCACAGGTGTACCAATTTGGGGTTTTTTGCAATCAAAAAAATAGTTTAGGGTAAATTTGTCACAGATGTACCAGTTTGGAGTTTTTCATGGTATTAACCCAAAAACAAATGCCGTGGTGCCACTTGATCACATTGCCACAAATTTCAAAAGTCCTTAAATAGTGCTGCACTATGTGACCTTTAAATTGGATTTTGCCCCGCTCATAAACTATAAATAAGTCATATTATGGGCAAATTGCCCTCTCAAAACAAATAAAAAATTATAAATTGAATTAACAAAATATTTCTTTTTATGGGACTTTTGATGTTTTTATTTCCAAAACAAATGTAGTTGATTTCTTTGTAGTCACGCATCATATGTGCCCTAGCTAAGAAAAAATTATGAATATATTTTTTTTGGGATAAAATGTCATCTCTTTAACTACAAGTATCGATTTAAATATTATTTTTTTGGGGATAATCGCTTAAAATCCCCTTTAAAGTTTGAACTTTAGCAATGTTTCATAATAGACCGTCAAAAACTACAGATTTATCTCTCTCAACTTTGACACATCTGCATTATAGCTCCTGTACTATAAATTTTTGTTGTAGTCGCTGATTTTTCTATTTGCATAGTAATTACTGACGAGGAAACCTCTATTACATGATTAATGAAGGTTAAAAATACAAATAATTGAGAGGGATGCATTGTCAATGGAGCGAGCTAAAAAATTCAACGAAGATTATTATGGTAAGAAAAAACGAGGTAATTCATCTATAGTAACATTTAATAGCTACGGAGAGAAAAAAAAAATCAGCAAATCTAATGAAAATAAAAAGTTCACGAGGTGATTTCAAAAACTAAGAAAGATTGTGCAATGATGCCTAAAATCAAGGAAATAATCTGTAGACTTTTCAAAAAAGTCGGGATTACGATGCAAATGGGGGCAAGGTTGAGAAACAAAATAAGAAAAAACAGTCTTTCTTCTTCCACACCTCTCCCGCCACCAAAGACCATCAGAGCCATCAAGCATCATCTGTACCGTAGCTACTTGAAGCACCATACGATTCCAAAGAGAAAAAGAACAGCAACGGATTCAAATGCCGCTGAAGTGGGCGGCGACGAACAGGATGGTACCATTTCCCCCTTTGGGTTTCTCCCAAGAACTGCAAACCAAGGAAGAACTCGTGGAAATTTATTGCGTGACGATGTGTCTATTGATCTTCTTCAGTTGATCCCTTTTGTCAGTTTCTGCGGTTGTTGTTTCACTGTTTGTGATTTTGGGGGGGTATTAACTGAGCAGAGATAACTACGGAGACCAGAGAGATCTTGCCGGCGCATTATGTGCTCAAGATCGAGTCTTTCTCTCAATTATCAAGGGACGGCATCACCATGTATGAGACAAACGAGTTCAGAGTTGGCGACCAGAAGTGGTATATCTATAATGTCTCTTCGAGTCTTCTTGGTTTTATTGTTTCTTGGCATTGACAGCGTAAGATTGTGGCAGCAACACGATTACTAATTATGCATAGTGTTGCGGTCCTTCGTTGAAAGTAACAGAGGCTCCAATTGTGTTCGGTGAGGATGGAAAGTTTGCTCAAACGTCACAAAATTGAAGAATGGACTAATCTATCGTTACTCAGCTCGTGGCAGATACTCTTCGTGGGTATATGCTTCTCGAATCTGATGTTTTGTCATTGTGTAGGAAATTGATTCTCTATCCTAATGGAGACAAGAGCAAGAAGGGAGAAGATCACGTGTCCCTATATCTGGCTGTTTCTGAGGCCAATCCTCTGAAGGTTGGCTGGGAGATAAATGCAACTGTTAGGTTCTTCGTGTTCGATCAAATTCGCGATGAATATTTGGTAAAAGAAGGTACGTTTGTTCCCTAAATCTTTATAAAGAAAAAGTGATCTACACCTTTGGTTGCCTGGAGAACTCTTGCTTTATATGTTGCAGGGAAAAACAGGAGGTTTCATGCAATGAAGTCCAAATGGGGCATTCCAAGATTTATGCCGCTAAAAACTTTCGCCGATCCGTCAAACGGCTACCTTGTTGATGACACTTGTGTTGGGATTTTGGCATCTAAATCCTATAGAATTGAATGACAAGTGTGTGGTTGAAAGTGTCCCACATTGAATAGAAGAGAGATGGGAGATGGGTTCAAATAGTTGAGCCTCACAAATGGGTTTGGGCCCCAAGGGGTACCCCACTTTTGTGGAAGAGAGAGGACCTACGCCAAGCTAGGTCTGTCCCCCCGCCGCCGTCCGTTCGGTCGGTTCGGTTCGGTTCCGGGTCCACCCTCTATCGGTTTTTATTTTTTCCGAATAGACACATTGTTTAGAATTTATTTATTTATTTATTTTTGGACAAACAAACATGTTTGTTCGTGAGGTTCGGTTCGCCCGAACGAAAATCGAAGCCCTCCGCGACTGTTCACGAACCTAACCGGTTCAAGTGAACCTTCACTGCTGTTCACGAACCCTTGTAACTCTTCATTTTCGCCACTAAGATATGACAGAACAGTTAGTTCGGAAAGTGACTCTTCGTGGCTTTTTATATATTCCCGCGAGACATTTTCCCGACGCACTCTAGACATTTTTCACTTCATCATTTTGTGCAATTGTTCTGCAAAATTGCGTTCGAAGGAGTCCTCCGGATACGTACCGCTTCGGAGGAACGAGATCCGTTCTATCCTGGGAGACGATTGTCCAATATCCTCGGGTACTGATTGAGGGGTCAAATTCGTCTTAAGGATACGACGTTTTTTCTTTGGGCTCGGATCAACATTTTGCTTGTTTGTTTGCACTGCTTTCAGGTTAGTTTCCTTGACATTTGATTTCAATTTCTAGTATGCGAACATAGCTGACAACAATCTTAAGACGAATTTACTTCGGTTCTGTTCGTATATTCTTATGCGTTGTTCATTGAGCTTTTCTATCGAATATCAGATTGCCGTTTCTTTAATTTGAACTTTTGTATAGTTCGTATGTTCCTTGTCATAGTCGTATAGAATACGATTCTGTTTGTACATTCTGGTCACACATTCTGTTCGTTAACAAATTTTTCGTTCTGTTCATATTAGAAATTTTCAATTCTGTTCGTGAACAAATTTTTCATTTCTGTTCGTATTGAAATTCTCAATTCTGTTCATGACCAATCGATTCTGTTCGTAGTCATATATTTCCGATTCTGTTCGTGAATATGTTCTGTGTTTATATTTCAGAAATGGCTTCGGCTTCGACTCCGGTTAATCCTATTCCGAATCACGGAGAAAAGCCAGAAAAGTTCAATGGTACGGATTTCAAGAGATGGCAACAAAAGATGTTGTTCTATCTCACGACCTTGAACTTGGCTAGATTCCTCAATGAGGATGGTCCTAAATTGGACGTTGGAGAGACAAATAAAGAAAAGCTTGCTGCTGTGGATGCATGGAATCATTCTGACTTCCTGTGTCGCAACTATGTCCTCAACGGTCTGGACAATACTCTCTATAACGTATATAGTCCGCTAAAAACGGCTAAAGAGTTATGGGATAGTCTGGACAAGAAATACAAAACCGAAGATGCCGGATTGAAGAAATTCATTGTCGGTAAATTTCTGGACTTCAAGATGGTTGATTCAAAGACCGTCTTAAGTCAGGTTCAAGAGCTTCAAGTGATTATGCATGATATTCATGCTGAAGGAATGACTCTAAGTGAGACATTTCAAGTGGCTGCATTCATTGAAAAATTGCACCATCCTGGAGAGATTTCAAAAATTATCTCAAACACAAGAGAAATGAGTTGTCACTTGAAGACTTAATTGTTCGGTTGAGGATTGAGGAAGACAATAGGAATTCCGAGAAGAAAGTTGGCAGCAATCTGGCGGTCTCAAGGGCCAATGTTGTTGAAGAAGGATCAAAACCCAACAAGAAGAGGAAAATGCCTAGCAAGTCCGGAGAGGGATTCACCCAAGGCCCGAAGAAGTTCGTTGGCAAGTGCTTCAACTGTGGCAAGTCTGGATATCGAGCCAAAGACTGCAGAGCCAAGAAAAGACAGAAAACTCAGGCTAATGTGGTGGAAGAAATTTCCAATGGTGTTGATGATATCAATTTAACTGCTATGATATCCGAGTGTAATATGGTGGGAAACCCCAAGGAGTGGTGGATTGATACTGGAGCAACTCGTCATATCTGTGCAAACAGATCGATGTTCTCGACCTACACAACTGTGGGGGGTGATGAAAAACTTTATATGGGTAATTCATCAACTTCTAAGGTTGAAGGTCTCGGAAAGATTGCTCTAAAGATGACATCTGGAAAGATTGTGACACTAAATAATGTTCTGCATGTGCCAGATGTTCGTAAGAATTTAGTGTCTGGATCTCTCCTTAGCAAGAATGGCTTCAAGTTGGTGTTTGTGTCTGATAAGTTTGTACTCTCCAAGAATGAGATGTATGTAGGAAATGGTTACCTTAGTGATGGTCTTTTCAAGTTGAATGTAATGACTGTTGTACCCAATGATATTATGAATAAAGTTGTTTCTGTTTATGTGCTTGAGTATCCTAATTTATGGCATGCTAGATTAGGACACGTTAACTATAAGTCGATAAGAAATTAATGAATATGGGACTGTTGCCGAAATTTGATTGTTCAAGTGAGAAATGCCAAGTGTGTGTTGAATCTAAATTTTCTAAGCCTCCTTTTCATTCTGTAGACAATAGAGACTCAGAACCTTTAGATTTGATACACACAGATATATGCGATATGAAATCAATACCGTCAAGAGGTGGTAATAAGTATTTTATCACATTTATAGATGACTGCTCGAGGTATTATTATGTTTATTTGCTTAGTAGCAAAGATGAGGCTGTGAATGCTTTTAGAATTTATAAGTCCGAAGTTGAAACTCAGTTGAATAAGAAAGTTAAAATGATAAGAAGTGACAGAGGAGGTGAATATGAATTTCCTTTTGAGGAAATTTGTACTGAGTTTGGTATCGTTCACCAAATGACTCCTCCTTATACGCCGCAATCTAATGGAGTGGTGGAAAGGAAACACCGATCTTTAAAGGAAACAATGAATGCATTGTTGAATAGTTCCGGTTTACCACAGAATTTGTGGGGGGAAGCTGTTTTGACGGCGAATTTTATTTTAAATAGAGTACCTCACAGAAAGACACAACAAACTCCTTATGAGAAATGGAAAGGCAGAATGCCTAACTTGAATTATCTCAAAGTGTGGGGGTGTTTGGCTAAAGTTGCGGTTCCTAAGCCTAAAAAGGTTAAGATAGGACCAAAGACTGTTGACTGTGTCTTTATTGGATATGCTCAGAATAGCAATGCATATCGTTTTCTTGTTCACAAGTCAGAGATCCCAGATATACATGTTAATATGATCATTGAATCAAGGGACGCTTCGTTCTTTGAAAATATATTTCCGTATAACATAGTATATGAGCCAATTGATAATAACAAGAGGCCTCGAGATACTATATCTAGAAGTGATCCAATGGAGGATGAACCTAGACGTAGTAAAAGACAAAGGACTTCCACGTCTTTTGGACCTGATTTTTTAACGTATCTGTTAGAGAATGAGCCTCGGACATTCAAAGAAGCTGTGACTTCGCCAGAAGCCGTGACTTTGCCAGAAGCCTCGTTCTGGAAAGAAGCTATCAATAGTGAAGTTGAATCCATATTGTCAAACCATACATGGGAATTGGTTGACCTTCCTCCTGGTAATAAACCACTACAATGTAAGTGGATTTTCAAGAGGAAAATGAAAGCGGATGGTGCTATTGATAAATATAAGGCTAGGCTTGTAGTAAAAGGATACAAGCAACGAGAAGGTCTTGATTATTTTGATACTTATTCACCTGTTACTAGAATTACATCTATAAGGATGCTAATTGCCATAGCAGCGGTGTATAAGCTTGAAATCCATCAAATGGATGTTAAGACGGCCTTCTTAAACGGGGATTTGGAAGAAGAAATATATTTGGAACAACCCGAAGGGTTCATTGTTCCAGGACAAGAGAAGAAAGTATGTCGGCTTATCAAGTCACTCTATGGATTGAAACAAGCACCGAAACAATGGCATGCTAAATTCGACCAAGTTATGTTGTCGAATGATTTTAAGATTAATGAGTGTGATAAATGTGTATATGTTAAGAACACTCATAATGGTTTTGCCATTTTGTGCTTATATGTAGACGGCATGCTTATAATGGGCAGCAATAGTGAGGTTGTTAATGCGACCAAACGCATGCTCACAAGTAAATTTGATATGAAAGATATGCGGGTTGCATATGTTATTTTAGGAGTTAAAATCCATAAGACATCTGGAGGATTAGCTCTATCACAATCCCATTATATCGAGACGATTCTTGGAAAGTACAAGAATATAGATATTGTACTGGTAAAGACTCCGATAGATGTTAATTTACATCTTTCAAAGAATACTGGTGAAAGTAAGGCTCAAAATGAGTATGCTAGTATACTAGGCAGTTTAATGTATGTCATGAACTGTACTAGGCCGAACATAGCTTGTGCGGTTAGCAAGCTAAGTCGATTTACAGTTAGTCCAAATGAAAATCATTGGAAAGCTATGAAACGTTTATTGGGCTACTTAAAGCATACTCAAGATTATGCTTTGCATTACACAGAATATCCAGTGGTACTTGAAGGATATTGTGATGCAAATTGGATAATCGGCACTAAAGACACAAAATCGACAAGTGGATATGTATTCACACTTGGAGGAGCGGCAGTGTCTTGGAAATCATCCAAACAAACTTGTATTGCTAGATCCACTATGGAATCAAAATTTATTGCTTTGGATAAAGCCGGTGAAGAAGTAGAGTGGCTTCGAAATTTCTTGGAAGATATTCCTAATTGGCCTAAACCAGTGCCCGCTGTTTGTATACATTGTGATAGTCAAGCGGCAATAGGAAGGGCAAGGAATGTCATGTATAACGGTAAGTCTCGACACATATGTCGAAGACATGACACAATAAGACAACTTCTTTCTAGTAGAATTATCACCATTGACCATGTGAAGTCAAAAGATAATGTTGCGGATCCATTGACAAAAGGCCTAACTAGAGAGATGGTTGCGAAAACATCAAGGGGAATGGGTTTAAGGCCTATAAACAAGTCATCATAGCGGAAACCCTTCCTAGTTGACTGGAGATTCCAAGATCTAGGTTCAAAGGGACAACTAAGTTATGAAGACAAAGTAGAGATCTTGTCAAATTTTTTTACTCATTCCCGGATGAAGACAAAGATTAATATGTAAAGGTTAAGCAAAAGCTTTTAATGATTCTGACTTGAGTATGTGATATACTATATGTTCAGAAATCACCTATGTGAGTGTGAAGTGAGGGCCGCTTCTGTGAGAATTGAAAATGCCGAATTCTCTAAAACACTCATGAGACCAGGCGCTGTTCATGGCCAAAACGAACACAACAGTGAGAACCAATTTTGTTCGAGAAACAGTTGTGTGATTTCTATTGTCTAGGCTTACACCAAAGGTCGACAGTTCAAAGACATCAAGTCTACTGATTGACTGAGTAAGTCCGATAGGTTTCACTAAGGAAAGTTCAAAGTCTCAGACTACTTATCCTGATGCAACGTTTTCTCATGGAATAATCGCACTTTGCATCTCACGCATACACGAAGAGTCATGATATCAAAACTTTTCATTTATATGGGGGATTGTTGGGATTTTGGCATCTAAATCCCATAGAATTGAATGACAAGTGTGTGGTTGAAAGTGTCCCAAATTGAATAGAAGAGAGATGGGAGATGGGTTCAAATAGTTGAGCCTCACAAATGGGTTTGGGCCTCAAGGGGTACCCCACTTTTGTGGAAGAGAGAGGACCTACGCCAAGCTAGGTCGGTCCCGCCGCCGCCGTCCGTTCGGTCGGTTCGGTTCGGTTCCGGGTCCACTCTCTATCGGTTTTTATTTTTTCCGAACAGACACATTATTTAGAATTTATTTATTTATTTATTTTTGGACAAACAAACATGTCTGTTCGTGAGGTTCGGTTCGCCCGAACGAAAATCGAAGTCCTTCGCGACTGTTCACGAACCTAACCGGTTCAAGTGAACCTTCGCTGCTGTTCACGAACCCTTCTAACTCTTCATTTTCGCCACTAAGATATGACAGAACAGTTAGTTCGGAAAGTGACTCTTCGTGGCATTTTATATATTCCCGCGAGACATTTTCCCGACGCACTCTAGACATTTTTCACTTCATCATTTTGTGCGATTGTTCTGCAAAATTGCGTTCGAAGGAGTCCTCCGGATACGTACCGCTTCGGAGGAACGAGATCCGTTCTATCCTGGGAGACGATTGTCCAATATCCTCGGGTACTAATTGAGGGGCCAAATTCGTCTTAAGGACACGACGTTATTTCGTTGGGCTCGGATCAACATTTTGCTTATTTGTTTGCACTGCTTTCAGGTTAGTTTCCTTGACATTTGATTTCAATTTCTAGTATGCGAACATAGCCGACAACAACTTGTGTGTTCGGAGCGGAGGTTTATGTCGTCAAAAGTTTAGGTCTGGGTGAAAGCTTGACACTAAAGGCGAGTCCGGAGTCTGTTAGTCACGAATGATAGATATCAAACTTCTCTACTTTGGTGAATGATTGCTACTCTAAAGTTTTCACTGCGGGGAATCACAACTGGTAGCTCTTATATTACCCGTAGCTTCTTTTCTTTTTTGCTTTTGTATATTCCTTTTTTTGTGATTTTTTATCGTTGCTTGGTTGCGTTTCTCCTTGTGTTCAGGAGGTTAAATCTATTTCCAAGGGGTGAGGAGGGGCATAACAGGGACAAAAACCTTTCGGTGTATCTATTTTCAGTAGATTCAGGTGAGCTGAAAATCAGAGCCACTTGTACCATTCGGTTAAAAGGGAAGGCTGGCAAGACTTATCCGCCGATGGCAGGTAACTGCTGATCTAAAATGGATGGCGAGCACAAAATCTTTAGCTAAGCTTAATTAGATCAAAATGAATGGAAAGATAGCTGGAATGTCGATCATAATGAAACATGTTATAGTTCTGATCCTCTTTTCTCACTGTGGCGTAATCACACCATAAACTCTTCATGCCCAAACAGAAAGTCCAGAGTAATTCCAATTTCGATCATACGATGAGCTTCTTTCTCCCCACGGTGCACCGATTTGTTAGTGTAGTCCGTATGGTTAGAAACCGCTGAAATCTCCCATATTTCCCAACTGTAATTTGCTGCTCTCTTGCTTTGGCTTTGCTACTTTGCAGCTTTTACTACATGGTTCAGTAGCTCCATCAAGTACTGGGGTTGGCCGTCTTTCGTGCCTCTGGAAACGGTTCGGGAATGCCTGACCGATGATGATTCATGTGTCATTGAGGCCGAAGTCACGGTGCACAGCACAGTTAGCAAATTGCCATGACAGCAAATATATGTACCGTATGTTTTCATAAACAGACAATCAAAGACACTTGAGGTATACTGCACCTTACCCGACTCGTTTCGGGTTCTTTTATCGCACTTTTCTTTTATCGCATTAGAGTGACGTGAGGTTTTGATTTTAGCTCATGGGGATCATGTCCCGGGACTTATGGCAAGCCACGTAATATTTTTTGCCCAACTTGTATCAAGTTTACATTTTGTACTTTACTCGTCTTTTTTTTTTTTAACTCATTGATGTGTTGTTTTGAATTCCTTATATGATTTTCATGTTTGGATTTCTTTAGGAGCAACTCAAATTGAATAACCATGCATGAACACTTAGCGGAAAGAGCTTTAGGATTCCATAATTTGACAAGACCTCACAAACAACTTTGTAGGCAAACCAATCGAGTTTAGGTACTGAAATGGCACTAATTCGATTATTTGTGTAATCAAGTCTCCGGACGTAGGAGCTCTGGTTCGTATGAAGTAAAACGTACTCCAATGTTCCACTTGGCTCTTAACCAACCCCAATAAGTAGTGGTGACTTTCTTATAGGATAGAATCCTATCTTTAGATCAATTGAATCTGAATTTCTTAAGCGAGATAAGGATTAGGGAGAACCCACACAGAACAAGATTGAGCAAACATCGAGTGGAGGTGATGCTAGTTCAAGCTCGATAAATTGCTAAACTCGCTCTCCCGAACCCGGCTTCGGGAGGGTCGCGATAGTGTTCATGCAATAAGTTCTCTGCAGGCATCTCTGCCTCTAGTCGGGTTCTCGAAGACATTATCATAAATATTGTCGATACTCCTTATTGAACAAGTTGCAACAGATAGCACTTTCGACCTGAGTCTCCACATGGCAGAGCGGAAAGTGCCACTACAAAAAAACATGTTTTTTGCGACGGATTTTGCGACAAAAAAATCGCAAAAATCCGTCGCAAATCGTTTTTGCGACGAATTTAGCGACGGAAAAAATTCCGTCGCTACTAGGTCGTCGCAAATTTTTGCGACGGAAAAAAAATTCGTCGCAAATAATTCGTCGCAAACTAGCCACGAACACTATCCGTCGCAAAGTTCGTCGCAAAATTCGTCGCAAATTTCGTCGCAAAATCCGTCGCAAAATCCGTCGCAAAATGTATTGGATGGAAATTAGGCACGAACTTGATTCGTCGCAAATTAGCCACGAACTGTAATGGTCGCAAAATTCGTATATAAATATTCATCGCAAATTTTACAGCATTTCGGCCGTCAAATCTTGTCCATATCAATTGCTACGCATTAATGAACATCATGTAATACATTGAAAACAATCAAAGGACACGAGAAAACCATAGATTCCGCTTCAGAAACAGAAAACGAACAAACCAGACACAATGCCATATAATTGAAAAATGTAACTGAAGGAAAGATGCTAGTCCGCAAAACATAATGATATATGCAAAGTTGCAAAGCCTGACACGATAATATTTGATATCAAATCTTATAATACATTCAAAACATTCATAGGAGGCGGGACAACCATAGATTCTGCTTAGAAAACGAAAAATCGACAAACCAGACACAAGATTGGGCAGCTGTGGTACTCGGCAGGACACCAAAAGCAGTCACTTTTGTCGACACCTGATGAAATGTAGATACATAAATAAAGATATTCAATCAGTCAAGAATATAAAAGAAGTGCTTATGCATGGATGTGGAACTAGGTATAAAAAAACAAGTAAGAGGGTTAACAAAAAAACGTTTCAGGACGAACATCAATGTTCTTACATATGAGTATGAGTCAACTTTGACATCCACTGTAGTTTTTTCACCCTTGTAAACCGTATTTCTGTCACATAGGAAAAATTAGATCGTTGAACCTGTCAGTAAGAAAGTTGTGCACAAAAAGTAATTGTAGGGCATGAACAAATTGGGTGAAACTGCACTTATGTCATATAAGATTGTGAAGCAAGCTTACCCCCGATTTTGGCAATTTTAACTAGAAATGACCGAGAAAATCATCAGCATCATCATCAATGTCAGCATCATTGTGTCGCTCATCATTGTGCTCATCACCTATTGGATTGGCAGGGGGTACAGGAGGAACCTCACCGCGATTGATGTTGAGGTGTCGCATAACGATTTGCATTTGCTGTTTCAAGTCATTTAATTCTTTGTCCCTCTCTACAATTATATTTTTCAGTTGGTTCACTTCTTGGGTCAATTGATCGTCATGTCGTGTCCTCCTTCGACCAGTCGCATTGGATGATGAAGTTCCAGCTTGATTCGGCATGAACATCCTTGACAAGGATCCCATCCCAAATATTTTTCCTTTTTTCACCCCACCCGTTGCCTCCACCCATAATGGCATACTGTCAACTGCTAGCTCAGACGCACTTGCAGAACCATCACTACCACTAGCATTGCCCATTAAAAGTTCATCATATTTTTCCTACATTAACAATATAGATGAAAATAAAATAACTTCATATATATATATATATATATACCATAAATATTAAAAGCATTCACGGTTTTCATTCTAGTTTTCATAAAGCCCAAAGTATAACCTTACATACCTTGATAGCTTTTGCTCGATCGCAAATCCACGTCTTATCTTTCTTTTGAAATGTGCGTTCAAATGTAGCTGCAAATGTCGGTTCCGTCCCCAATTCTTGTGCCTACAAAATGTAAACATGAGTAATTGAATTAAATTAACTTATAACTTATTTAACAGACTTACTAGTCGTTTGCGATGCTCCCCAATGTTGATACAGCCCTCAACATATGTGGCAGACCCTTCACTAGAACTGGAAGATCGATTCTTTTTATTCTGCTGACTGACTTGCTGACTCTTCTCAGTTTCCCAAATTCTGTTAATTTCTGCCCAATTGTCAGCTGTAATGAAAGCCGGCTTCACTTTCCTGCTCTTCGCTCTATTCATCACATTTCGTATGTGATCACTGACTTTCTTCTGAAAAATTCTTCTCACTTCATTCTCTTGCTGGTCATCCCACCTGAACTTCCGCTGCAATCATTACAAGCAAAACTGAAAGTTATTATGATGGTCACATATCCATTACCATGCACCAGACAATTCGGCGATAGACTTTGTTAAGTTCATATCGGGGAAAATATCTGGTCCCTTTAGTACCGAAAAGTAAAGAGCTGTTATGGTCCCTTTACATCATTCTTGACCATCAATATACTACACCGAACTTAGTTGGTAAGAAAATAGAATATCTAAAACTTACCTTGAACTCATTTCACCACAAATCTTTCACCTCTTGTGGAACACTTCTATAATTGACATGCTCCCACATCCAATAGTTTTTGACTATTTTATTCAGTTCCCTCACAACAAACGTAGCATCCATGAATCTGCAAACATACGGATATTGTGCAACATCGACAATTCAGTTGACATCCATATCGAAAGCCATAAATATTACATATATTAAAAAAAAATTGAAGTACTTACGAATCTCCAAATGGGCATATCAGGAATCGGTTATCTTCTTCACCTTCATTTCCGTCATTATGCGAATGTTGCGCTGAATAATAAGGTGGAACGGAAGGAGAGGGAGCCAAAGGAGATGGAACTGGAGGAGATTGAGTTGGCATGTGGCCAAGTCCCATAACATATTCTTGAGCATTGGAGGAAGGACCAACGTGTCCATATTGTCCATCAGCATATTGTGGTTGCGGGTTAGATGAATCGACAGGAGACGAGGAAAGGGCTGGGGACGACCCCGTTGAAGAGGCTAGTCTTCTATGCATGTAACCTCCACGTTTATACTGACAAGTAGGAATTTTAGACAAATATGTAAAAAAATATGAACACGTATTACGGACACATAATGACGTACATGACGAAGCTTATCATTTTGGTTGACAAGCAGAAAATGTTCCCTCTTAATTAGCCAATACCGAGTGTTTATGACGTGCAATTACCTACGAACAAATATACTATGAATCGCACTCAATTTGATATCAAACATCAATATATGAGCACGATATGCCATGGTAAACCGACATTAGCCATAATTAACCACACAATCCACTTTCAAACCACACAATAATTCATCAAGTACAAGAACAACCATGAAACATCAATTTCAGCCACATGATCTTCGTTCTCGGCCACACGATCATCAATCAAAGTGGCTGGCCGCAGGCATTATAAGCCATTAATTTTTTGGGCATCTAAAAAAATTTAAATTTCACTCAAAGTGGGTAGCCACAGGTATTCTAAGACATTATGTAAAGT